TGACGATAATAACCTTAATTAAAGCAATATTAAAATTTAATGACTCCAATATAATTTAACTAAAGTAAAAGTATCTTAAATTTAGAGACTATTGTGTGTCTCGTTCATTAATTATTGGGGTAAACTATTGAATTAATCAATTTTCTTTTATGTTTGTACACTATTGTTCATCAAATTCAAAAAATTTATGTTTTAATCACATACATTATCATTTTATTTACTTTTGGTCATTTATATCAAGGAACATTCTTATTCTTTATAATAATAAACGTGACTAACTTGTTACATTTGAATTTCTTTTAGGGTTTAACAATTGAATAGTTCTTAATATTTAAGGATGACAGTATTTTATTATTTCGATTAAAACATAAGAAATAACCACCTTAATTTTGATTAAAGGGTTAGTTTCTTCTTTAATTGGAAATAACAAATATTGTTCGTCTCTATAAAATTTTAAATATTTTAGGGAATAAATAGATTATTAATTAAATAAATATTTGAATTTCTTAATTTTCAATATAGGGACAAATTTATATTGGAGGTATCAATTTTGGGAGTTATGGGGTGCTAATCATTCCTCAACTGTAATCGACTCTTGAACCCAAAATCTCTGAATCACTTACGAAATACTGTCTTTTTAAATTTTTTATTTAAAAGGGTGTATCAGGGGTTTTCAACCTACCTAGTCTGAAAGGTGGATGGTGACTCCAAACATTTCAAATCTTGTCTACAAATTCGATTTTCTAAATTTATTCCGATTTTCGCCACTTCGAAAAAGCCCTCGCGACAAAATTTTACGTTGAACTGTTCCATTGTACTTGTGTATACATTTAAAAGCAATTTTCTTTTTGCCACCTGCTGACATGCATACATTGTAGTGAACACAACCTAATTTCTGTTCTCTTTACTTTTACAATGACCATGAACATATTGGTTTGAGATTTGTAGAAATTCCATATCCTCCCCAAAGGATCCAAATACCACCACTGAAAACCTATGCTTCTCCTCTAAACGAGTTGGCAAAACCCAATTTCTTGATGAATTCATTTTCTCCTCTTTTACTAACTCAAGTTTATGTTAGTTCTATTATATGAGGCTTATTCCTACGGACCACTTTTTTAAAAGTTATTTTGAATGAAGAGCTAGCCACCCTTGGCAATTCTAAAATAATATCCTATCCATGACAATAAAGTGAACTTACTACATACCTACACTGCAAAGCCTACAGCCTTGTTCAATCTTGCCCAACGACATCGACCATGTCATTTAATACGACCTAATCATCATTCTTATCAATCCAAGGTTCCCCATCACCCAAGCCTTCTTCAATCTTTCAAGTGCGTTGTCCCCAGTACCTACTCTGCCACTACTCGTGGTTAGTAAGGCATCTAGTTGCTTGGACACCGACTCTACCTATTCGATATTTTAGGTTTATCTGGAGCTGTCAACTCATATTGTTTTCTTTCCCTCGTTAATCTCTTGGTAACTTATTTGTTTATTATTATGGAGCCACCAACTTCTACATTTCTTCTTCCTTTACTGTTACCCTTCGAGACTCGTCCTTTTTCTAGTATAGTGATCGCAGCATGCTTACCCTCCCCATGGTTGATTTATGTATGACTACCTCAGGGGATTGCTCCTTAATAATTGACACGACCGTAACTATCTCAATTAATGATTCTCATACTTTTGTTCCATGCGCAAGTACTTTAGATTTTGGTGCCACTTGAGCCCTGCTACTATCTTGGACTTTACTGCTAACCGCCATCCCCTCAACAATTGGCACAACCTGAACTTTTTCCACTATTGATCCTCCTTCTTTCTTTCCTAACGTAGTTAATTTAGACTCTTGGCTACTTGTAGCCCATTCCTAACTTGATCCTTGCCACTATCCCCATGTAACACTATTTATTTCCCATTATCCCACTGATCATTCCCCTCGCTGATTACCCCATCGGCCTCATGTTGTTGCTTACCTAGATCATCTACCATCTCCTCTTTTTGTAAAATAGTAAACCTATAGCCTCTATTTGTCTCACTCTTATTGTTTCGTGTACTACTACTGCTTATCTCTTTTATCGGTCGACGTCTCCTAGGTTCAAGTACTATCCATGGACCATATACCGTGTCCCTCGGATGATTATCTTTGTGATAGTTTACAAGGTACAGTTATCGAGTCCCTTCTCGACTCAAACATTCTTTATGAATGATATCCCTATTGATTTGCCACTCTACAATGTTCATTAGTATGGCCATAAACTCTACAACTAAAACTTATTAGCTGTAATCCCTTATTTTCCAACTTCTTAATAAAGCCATTGATTCCTATACACGAAAGCAATTGTTTGTTAAGGTCTATCATAACAGATAGCCTTGCAAATATGCCCCATTCACCCTTACTCTAATCCAATTTCACTACACTCCCTATAGTTGATACAATCATACTAAACAAATTTCTCGTGTAATATATAAGGGCAGTCTCGACAGCCTTATCCATACCATTACATGTGAAGGATTCCTTTTCGTGGTAGAGAACAATCGATTCCATGGTTTTACCACAAGGTAGATACCATAAATCGTCTAGGGTCCCTTCCGCTAGCACTTTCAAGTAATCTTCTATGCATTCAAATTTGACAATAAAGTAACTATTTTCTAGGTCTACTAGTTCAAACCTCCCTTGCGGTTACCAAAGGGATTGAATTCTCAATTCTAAGGCATTGAACCTAATCACCCTACCAAGAAGTCTTACTATCGCCGACTTTTGTATGCTCTTATCAATTAAGCTATGGACCCGCTCTGAAGAACTAATAGTAGGTAAATCCCGTGTCCTATCTATGACACAGTCTTCATCGGTTAGTTCAAACTCTTATTCTTCTGCTAACATACATGAATAGCCTCTTTCCTTGGAAGACCCAATAACCATATCGGCATAAGAACTCCTTCCTTTTTCTGATCGCTTTTTCTGTTTGGGTGAATCTTCCTTCTCTTTAGCCAGTCTTGATCTACGATAGGTTCTTCCATGCATGTCTTCCCCCTTCTCATAGACATTATTTCCCTGTTGTTTACTCCCTTCTCCTCCATGCATACTCGTCTCGTCATCCATTATAACCCTATGGTTATTAGATAATTACTGGTCCAATCCAACTACATGAGCACCTTGCCCCAAATCCTGCTACAACAGATGAAAAATAAAATAAAACAAAACTTTTATTAATATCTAAAAAGTACAGATTAAAGTAAAAAACCCAATTATTAATAGAATATGAAGTTGAAACTAGTCGAGGCCTACACCTACACAGTTTCCTTAAGACAGATTTTTGGTCACTCCTTAGTGCTACATATATTAACTCTAGATATATTTTAGTAACATACAACAAATTGTACAACTTTTCACATTGCAATCCTAGGATGTGACCTTGTATGTTCTTGTAACGTTAGTATTAATTATTATAACAATTCTAATATTATATACAATGGGTGACATCTAGAAATATATCATTGTCACCTAATATACAAGAAATTATTATTCGACATATCATCTTCGTGATTAACTCTTTTATGTATTACATCCTTTTGTCTTTTATATCTAGAATAGACACAAGTCTTGGAATAGTCACACTGGTATAGCCCATCTATTGTTTCTTGATATCTAGAGTAGACTATAATTAACGAAAAATTTGTTGTATCTCATATCAACTTATTTGAGCATGACCATCCATTTCTAGTATCACTCAATCAAGTGGCCTGTGATATATTTCCTATTATGTAGGAAGGACAAATCCTATCTTAATCATACACACTCCACTACATATATCAAGATAAGTTCAATAACAGTCTTTATGTGTTAAGATCAACAGCTGGGCATGTTGTGGCAATATTTTTCGGCCCGGTCTCTTGTGTAAATTCTGATTTTACTGAACTGTTAGCTATCAAAACAACCTTAGAGATTTTTAGTAAGTCTAGCTGGTGTGAGGAAATTGAACTGATTATAGAATCTGATTCGAAAGTAGCATTGAACTGGTTATTTGAAGAGATTTATTGAAGATTAATGACTGTAGGGAAGGTACAACTAGTGTACACTCCTAAGATGTGTTATAACTTAGCAGATCAACTCGCGGAGATAGGATTTAGCAGACAAGAAATGTTTAAAGTATGTTGGTAAGATTATACTGGTCTATGTCTGTACGCTCCGCTATATTCTGTTTAGCAATTTTTTTAATTGATTTTTGGGTTGTTCGATAGCATGTAGTTATTGCAAGATGCTCTCTGTCATCAATTTCTTGTAGTTTTGGTTGTCTGTTGTTGCTAGGTATGGTTATGCTATTGAAGTTACTATCTAGTCATGGCGAAATAAGAGACCATGTATGTTTTTTCTGGACTTGCTGTTTGTACATCAACCTTGGAGTACTCTTTTCCCCTATTTAGGCATAGAGGGGTTTTGAATGACGCTTCGGTTGGGATGATTTTAAAAATCGGAAATAAAAATTCATGTTACTGAGAAAAAAAAAAGTCTTTATAGTGCAACCAGTTACGAAGCGTGTTTAACTGTATCAAAACTTACAACAATTTATATCGAGATAACATTGATCTCAAGTCTGAGGGACATACATATAATCATCACCATGAGCAATGTTATGACCGTTACATAATAATCCAAGACATATGCTCATGGTGGGTTAATCCAATATATTGTTCTCTAACAATATAATCATAATGCAATTATGACATCTCTATATCAATGATAACTCGTTGTCATCTATCAATAACATTTGAGTCTTAAGCGTATTATTATTGTTCATGCCCATAATAATACTTGAATATGGAACTTTTAATAATAATAATGTTATTATATGGACTCTATTATCTTTCAGTTTTTGTTAAACACATACATATAACTGATAATAATAGTGGCAATACCTTTATTCAATAAAATCGGTAAATAAATGTATTATTACAATCATAATATGATTGGTCTTTGGATATACTATAACAATAGATTGATCAGATCATCGGAGGAGGGAGCAGCCATTTGGTGGCAGCAACGTAGTCAAGCGACAGGAATGGTTCGGCTTCCTTTTCGGTTAGCTGCTTGGTGAATGGCTCCCGCCCACTGGAAGATGCGCCTACCCCAGTGCACTTGTATTCTCCATAGTAAACAGTTCTAAAAAATAATTATCATTATCATAATTAATCAATAAGATTGGTGTGTGTGCTATCAACATTGACCATCGGCTTACTTGGTTCTTTCTGGTTGCATTTCATGAGACCAGCCGGCAGGATTCACAACGTCGGTCATTTCAGTATAAGCATAAACAACTCTCGGACTGCTCTTCCATGCCCTCCCCAAAAATGAACCCTTTGCCGTTCCGGTGATTTTTCCGTGCACAATGGAGTACCCGGTGTCCTCCGATGAACTTTCTCTAGCTTGTGCCGTGATTACTGTAAGTTTCGGTTCTATTTCTACAAATATTTCCGTGTCCTGCATCCCACTTTTCCAATCAAATTCTGGCATATATATATCTATATATATATCGTATTTCATGTGTTTTTTTTAAATGTATACCAGATATAAAGATTTCCCACTACCAAAAATGAAATCAACGGTGCCTCGAATATAGCAATCCTTGAAGAAGTGGTTCCCCCTGTCATCGCACACTGTATCCTGAAAACCGAATATGTTGCAGCCATAAAATGCCGATCTGTCACCGGATACTCTCAAGGCAACCGCTTGTGCTCCTTCCCTTTTCCCGTCAGGCTTCGGAGCATTGTTCTATGTATAATTGTTAACAAAGTATTGAAAGTTAACAATGTATTCAATTCAAGGAAGAACATGTAGTTAAGAATTTATAAGTGGAGAAAATAAATAAAATGATATCAATATGAATAATACGTGTAAAAGATGAGATTTAACGATGTTCAATTATTTTTATTTCTACAGGTGAAAAGAATAATAATCCATTTCAAACGTATATATCATCATGCTCATCAAGAAATATGTTCTAGGATATGTAGATTTGTATTAATAATAGAAATTTTTGTATGGAAGGATACAAATAAAATTCAGATTAGGCCCCATCAATAAAATAAACAATTAATCTAAAGAAATTTAGATTTCATTGTCTACCCTAGATAACATATACATGCAACCACAGGCTAAGGATACATATACATAATATCTCATGTACACTAAAGTTTGATATTTATTTTAAAATTTAAAATATCTCAAAATATTCTATTACTACCTCTATAAAAGTTAAATATCAATTATAATTAGAGTTAAAATATAAGCATACGTGCTGGTTAAATTCTGGAGCTTACTATTATGTTGAGATAAGCACCCACAAAGTAACTAGACAAGGTAGTGAGCGTGCCGCTGTCTACAGTTCCGTAGTCCTTGGCGGTGGCATCAAATGTCAAATTGGGCATGTTTTTGGGGTCTCCCATCAGTGTAACGTAAGGCTTGTCTCGAGGGATCGTGATTTTCTCTTGGTAAGACCCGGGTCCGATAGATATTATAACGCGTTTGTTGTTCCCGGCTGGAACGCTGTCGATGGCTTTCATTATGGTAGTGAAATCTCCACCGTCACCTTGCTTAACCTTTATGATTTTAGGTTCAGTCTCGGCCTCAACCAATTCTGGGTCTAAAGTGCCAGCCCTTTGATTGAGAGGCTTGATAACGCTACTGAACCAATCATTTACCTTGGATTTGTCCTCCGGTATCTGTGTACCCTGAGACTGAACGATCGGAGCAAAGAAGACAACCATGCAGATTGCTGCATAAACTCCACCATTTTCGATTCTTTTTTTTTCCTATCATTTTTATTTTTTATTGTTGATATTATGTTTATTTTTCGGTGACTCTAATTTATTAGATAAATTCGTGAAGAAAAAACTGTAAACATGAGATTTGGAGTGATCGTCGCTCCGCCTATCATTTTTCGTGGTTCTTGCATGCACCATTAAGCTTGTTGCGTAATTCAAATGAATACTTTAAGGTGGTCTCACTAGTGACTTGACACACGACATTAAAACTTCTGCAATGTTAAAAATATATTATTATATCATTTTATAATTTATATTAGAATTAATATTATTTTATAAAATAGAAAAATTAATTTTAATTATACTTTAACTTAGATAATATTTTTATTAAAATTATAATAATAATGTATAATCTTATGATTAAATATTATACTCTCCTTAAGAATTTTAGGTTCAAATCACATCATAATATATATATAGTTTTCATTAAATTATATCATGTGTTATTATCTTATCGAAAGATACTAACTTACTAGGAAAAATACACATAATTACATAAATATATCAGATGACGATAATAACCTTAATTAAAGCAATATTAAAATTTAATGACTCCAATATAATTTAACTAAAGTAAAAGTATCTTAAATTTAGAGACTATTGTGTGTCTCGTTCATTAATTATTGGGGTAAACTATTGAATTAATCAATTTTTTTTTATGTTTGTATACTATTGTTCATCAAATTCAAAATATTTATGTTTTAATCACATACATTATCAATTTATTTACTTTTGGTCATTTATATCAAGGAACATTCTTATTCTTTATAATAATAAACGTGACTAACTTGTTACATTTGAATTTCTTTTAGGGTTTAACAATTGAATAATTCTTTAATTTTTAAGGATGACAGTATTTTATTATTTCGATTAAAACATAAGAAATAACCATCTTAATTTCGATTAAGGGGTTAGTTTCTTCTTTAATTGGAAATAACAAATATTGTTCGTCTCTATAAAATTTTAAATATTTTAGGGAATAAATGGATCATTAATTAAATAAATATTTGAATTTCTTAATTTTCAATATAGGGACAAATTTATATTGGAGGTATCAATTTTGGGCGTTATGGGGTGCTAATCCTTCCTTAACCGTAATCGACTCCCGAACCCAAAATCTCTGAATCGCTTTCCAAATCCTGTCTTTTTAAATTTTTTATTTAAAAGGGCGTATCAGGGGTTTTCAACCTACATAGTCCGAAAGGTGGACGGTGACTCCAAACATTTCAAATCTTGTCTACAAATTCGATTTTCTAAATTTATTCTGATTTTCACCACTTCGAAAAAACCCTCGGGACAAAATTTTACGTTGAACTGTTCCATTGTACTTGTGTATACATTTAAAAGCAATTTTCTTTTTGCCACCTGCTGACTTGCATACATTGTAGTGAACACAACCTAATTTCTGTTCTCTATACTTTTACAATGACCATGAACATATTGGTTTGAGATTTGTAGAAATTCCATATCCATATCCTCCCCAAAGGATCCAAATACCACCACTGAAAACCTATGCTTCTCCTCTAAACGAGTTGGCAAAATCCATTTTCTTGATGACTTCATTTTCTCCTCTTTTACTAACTCAAGTTTTTGTTAGTTCTATTATATGAGGCTTATTCCTTCGGACCACTTTTTTAAAAATTCTTTTGAATGAGGAGCTAGCCACCCTTGGCAATTCTAAAATAATATCCTATCCATGACAATAAAGTGAACTTACTACATACCTACACTGCAAAGCCTACAGGCTTGTTCAATCTTGCCCAACGACATCGACCATGTCATTTAATACGACCTAATCATCATTCTTATCAATCCAAGGTTCCCCATCACCCAAGCCTTCTTCAATCTTTCAAGTGCGTTGTCCCCAGTACCTACTCTGCCACTACTCGTGGTTAGTAAGGCATCTAGTTGCTTGGACACCGACTCTACCTATTCGATATTTTAGGTTTATCTGGAGCTCTCAACTCATATTTTTTCTTTCCCTCATTTATCTCTTGGCAATTTATTTGTTTATTATTATGGAGCCACCAACTTCTACATTTCTTCTTCCTTTACTGTTACCCTTCGAGACTCGTCCTTTTTCTAGTATAGTGATCGCAGCATGCTTACCCTCCCCATGGTTGATTTATGTATGACTACCTCAGGGGATTGCTCCTTAATAATTGACACGACCGTAGCTATCTCAATTAATGATTCTCATACTTTTGTTCCATGCGCAAGTACTTTTGATTTTGGTGCCACTTGAGCCCTGCTACTATCTTGGACTTTACTGCTAACCGCCTACCCCTCAACAATTGGCACAACCTGAACTTTTTCCACTATTGATCCTCCTTCTTTCTTTCCTAACGTAGTTAATTTAGACTCTTGGCTACTTGTAGCCCATTCCTAACTTGATCCTTGCCACTATCCCCATGTAACACTATTTATTTCCCTTTATCCCACTGATCATTCCCCTCGCTGATTACCCCATCGGCCTCATGTTGTTGATTACCTAGATCATCTACCCTCTCCTCTTTTTGTAAAATAGTAAACCTATAGCCTCTATTTGTCTCACTCTTTTTGTTTCGTGTACTACTATTGCTCATCTCTTTTATCGGTCCGCGTCTCCTAGGTTCAAGTACTATCCATGGACCATATACCGCGTCCCTCGGATGATTATCTCTGTGATAGTTTACAAGGTTTAGTTATCGAGTCCCTTCTCGACTCAAACATTCTTTATGAATGATATCCCTATTGATTTGTCACTCTACAATGTTCATTAGTATGGCCATAAACTCTACAACTAAAACTTATTAGCTGTAATCCCTTATATTCCAACTTCTTAATAATGTCATTCATTCCTATGCACGAAAGCAATTGTTTGTTAAGGTCTACCATAACAGATAGCCTTGCAAATATGCCCCATTTACCCTTACTCTAATCCACTTTCACTACACTCCATATAGTTGATACAATCATACTAAACAAATTTCTCGTGTAATATATAAGGGCAGTCCCGACAGCCTTATCCATACCATTATATGTGAAGGATTTTTTTTCGTGGTAGAGAACAATCGATTCCATGGTTGTACCACAAGGTAGATACCACAAATCGACTAGGGTCCTTCCGCTAGCACTTTCAAGTAATCTTCTATGCATTCAAACTTGACAATAAAGTAACTATTTTCTAGGTCTACTAGTTCAAACCTCCCTTGCGGTTACCAAAGGGATTGAATTCTCAATTCTAAGGCATTGAACCTAATCACGCTACCAAGAAGTCTTACTATCGCCGACTTTTGTATGCTCTTATCAATTAAGCTATGGACCCGCTCTGAAGAACTAATAGTAGGAAAATCCCATGTCCTATCTATGACACAGTCTTCATCGGTTAGTTCAAACTCATATTCTTCTGCTAACATACATGAATAGCCTCTTTCCTTGGAAGACCCAACAACCATATCGGCATAAGAACTCCTTCCTTTTTCTGATCGCTTTTTGTGTTTTGGTGATCTTCCTTCTCTTTAGCCAGTTCTTGATCTACGATAGGTTCTTCCATGCATGTCTTCCCCCTTCTCATAGACATTATTTCCCTGTTGTTTACTCCCTTCTACTCCATGCATACTCGTCTCGTCCTCCATTATAACCCTATGGTTATTAGATAATTACTGGTCCAATCCAACTACATGAGCACCTTGCCCCAAATCCTGCTACAACAGATGAAAAATAAAATAAAGCAAAACTTTTATTAATATCGAAAAAGTACAGATTAAAGTAAAGAACCCAATTATTAATAGAATATGAAGTTGAAACTAGTCGAGGCCTACACCTACACAGTTTCCTTAAGACAGATTTTTTGTCACTCCTTAGTGCTACATATATTAACTCTAGATATATTTTAGTAACATACAACATATTGTACAACTTTTCACATTGCAATCATAGGATGTGACCCTGTATGTTCTTATAACGTTAGTATTAATTGTTATAACAATTCTAATATTATATACAATGAGTGACATCTAGAAATATATCATTGTCACCTAAGATGCAAGAAATTATTATTCGACATATCATCTTCGTGATTAACTCTTTTATGTATTACATCCTTTTGTCTTTTATATCTAGAATAGACACAAGTCTTGTAATAGTCACACTTAGATAGCCCATCTATTGTTTCTTGATATTTAGAGTAGACTATAATTAACGAATAATTTGTTGTATCTCATATCAACTTATTCGAGCATGACCATGCATTTCTAGTATCACTCAGTCAAGTGGCATGTGATATATTTCGTATTATGTAGGAAGGAAAAATCATATCTTAATCATACACACTCCACTACATATATCAAGATAAGTTCAATAACAGTCTTTATGTGTTAAGATCAACAGCTGGGCATGTTGTGGCAATGTTTTTCAGCCCAGTCACTTTTGTAAATTCTAATTTTACTGAACTGTTAGCTATCAAAACAACCTTAGAGATTTTTAGTAAGTCTAGCTGGTTTGAGGAAATTGAATTGATTATTTAATCTGATTCGAAAGTAGCATTGAACTGATTATTTGAAGAGATTGATCGAAGATTGGAGACTTTAGGGAAGGTACAACTAGTGTACAATCCTAAGATGTCCTATAACTTGGCAGATCAAATTGTGGAGATAGGATTTAGAAGATAAGAAATGTTTGAAGTATGTTGTTAAGATTATACTGGTCTATGTCTGTACGCTCCGCTATATTCTATTTAGCTGATTTTTTAATTGATTTTTGGGTTGTTCGGTAGCATGTAGCTATTGCAAGATGCTCTTTGTCATCAGTTTCTTGTAGTTTTGGTTGTCTGTTGTTGCTAGGTATGGTTATGCTATTGAAGTTACTGTCTAGTCTTGGCAAAATAAGAGACCATGTATGTTTTTTCTGGACTGGCTGTTTGTACATCAACCTTGGAGTACTCTTTTGCCCTATTTAGGCCTAGACGGGTTTTCAATGACGCTCCGGTTGAGATGATTTTAAAAACCGGAAATAAAAATTCATGTTACTGAGAAAAAAAAAGTCTTTATAGTGCAACCAATTACGAAGCGTGTTTAACTGTATCAAAACATACAACAATTTATATCGAGATAACAATGATCTCAAGTCTGAGGGTCATACATATAATCATCACCATGAGCAATGTTATGACCGTTACATAATAATCCAAGACATATGCTCATAGTGGGTCAATCCAATATATTGTTCTCTAACAATATAATCATAATTCAATTATGACATCACTATGTCAATGATAACTCGTTGTCATCTATCAATAACATGTTAGTCTTAAGCGTATTATTTTTGTCCATGCTCATAATAATACTTGACTATGGAACTTTTAATAATAATAATGTTATTATATGGACTTTATTATCTTTTAGTTTTTGTTAAACACGGACATATAACTAATAATAATAGTGGCAATGCCTTTATTCAATAAAAATCGGTAAATAAATGTATTATTACAATCATCATATGATTGGTCTTTGGGTATACTCTAACAATAGATTGATCAGATCATCGGAGGAGGGAGCAGCCATTTTGTGGCAGCAACGTAGTCAAGCGACAGGAATGGTTCGGCTTCCTTTTCGGTTAGCTGCTTGGTGAATGGCTCCCGCCCACTGGAAGATGCGCCTACCCCAGTGCACTTGTATTCTCCATAGTAAACAGTTCTAAAAAAATAATTATCATTATCATAATTAATCAATAAGATTGGTGTGTGCTATCAACATTGACCATCAACTTACTTGGTTCTTTCTGGTTGCATTTCATGAGACCAGCCGGCAGGATTCACAACGTCGGTCATTTCAGTATAAGCATAAACAACTCTCGGACTGCTCTTCCATGCCCTCCCCAAAAATGAACCCTTTGCCGTTCCGGTGATTTTTCAGTGCACAATGGAGTACCCGGTGTCCTCCGATGAACTTTCTCTAGCTTGTGCCGTGATTACTGTAAGTTTCGGTTCTATTTCTACAAATATTTCCGTGTCCTGCATCCCACTTTTCCAATCAAATTCTGGCATATATATATCTATATATATATCGTATTTCATGTGTTTTTTTAAATGTATACCAGATATAAAGATTTCCCACTTCCAAAAATGAAATCAACGGTGCCTCGAATATAGCAATCCTTGAAGAAGTGGTTCCCCCCTGTCATCGCACACTGTATCCTGAAAACCGAATATGTTGCAGCCATAAAATGCCGATCTGTCACCGGATACTCTCAAGGCAACCGCTTGTGCTCCTTCCCTTTTCCCGTCAGGCTTCGGAGCATTGTTCTATGTATAATTGTTAACAAAGTATTGAAAGTTAACAATGTATTCAATTCAAGGAAGAACATGTAGTTAATAATTTATAAGTGGAGAAAATAAATAAAATGATATCAATATGAATAATACGTGTAAAAGATGAGATTTAACGATGTTCAATTATTTTTATTTCTGCAGGTGAAAAGAAGAATAATCCATTTCAAACATATAGATTATCATGCTCATCAAGAAATATGTTCTAGGATATGTACATATGTATTAATAATAGAAATTTTTGTATGTAAGGATACAAATAAAATTCAGATTAGGCACCATCAATAAAATAAACAATTAATCTAAAGAAATTTAGATTTCAATGTCCACCCTAGATAACATATACATGCACCCACATGCTAAGGATACATATACATAATATCTCATGTATACTAAAGTTTGATATTTATTTTAAAATTTAAAATATCTCAAAATAATCTCTTTCTACCTCTATAAAAGTTAAATATCAATTATAATTTGAGTTAAAATATAAGCATATGTGCTGGTTAAATTATGGAGCTTACTATTATGTTGAGATAAGCACCCACAAAGTAACTAGACAAGTTAGTGAGAGTGTCACTGTCTACAGTTCTGTAGTCCTTGGCGGTGGCATCAAATGTCAAATTGGGCATGTTTTTGGGGTCTCCCATCAGTGTAACGTAAGGCTTGTCTCGAGGGATCGTGATTTTCTCTTGGTAAGACCCGAGTCCGATAGATATTATAACGTGTTTGCTGTTCCCGGCTGGAACTCTGTCGATGGCTTTCATTATGGTAGTGAAATCTCCACCGTCACCTTGCTAAACCTTTATGATTTTAGGTTCAGCCTCGGCCTCAACCAATTCTGGGTCTAAAGTGCCAGCCCTTTGATTGAGAGGCTTGATAACGCTACTGAACCAATCATTTACCTTGGATTTGTCGTCCGGTATTTGTGTACTCTGAGATTGAACGATCGGAGCAAAGAAGACAACCATGCAGATTGCTGAATAAACTCCACCGTTTTCGATTCTTTTTTTTCCTGTCATTTTTATTTTTTATTGTTGATATTATGTTTATTTTTTCGATGACTCTAATTTATAATATAAATTCTTAAAAGAAAAAACTGTAAACATGAGATTTGGAGTGATCCTCGCTTCGCCTATCATTTTTCATGGTTCTTGCATGCACCATTAAGTTTGTTGCGTAATTCAAATCAATACTTTAAGATGGTCTCACTAGTGACTTGACACACGACATTAAAACTTCTACAATGTTATTAATTTTAATTATACTTTAACTTAAATAATATTTTTATTAAAATTATAATAATAATGTATAATCTTATGATTAAATATTATACTTTCCTTAAAAATTTTATGTTCAAATCACATCATAATATATATATATATATGTATGTATGTATATATATATATATAGTTTTCATTAAATTATATCATGTATTATTTTCTTATCGAAAGATACTAACTTACTAGGAAAAATACACATAAATATATCAGATGACGATAATAACCTTAATTAATGCAATATTAAAATTTAATGACTCCAATATAATTTAACTAAAGGAAAAGTATCTTAAATTTAGAGACTATTGTGTGCCTCGTTCTTTAATTATTGGGGTAAACTATTGAATTAATCAATTTTCTTTTATATTTGTATACTATTGTTCATCAAATTCAAATAATTTATGTTTTAATCACATACATTATCAATTTATTTACTTTTGGTCATTTATATTATTTATTGTTTTATTTTTGTGATTGAGTCGTTAACTCCTCTTAGTTTGATGGGGTCACACGGTATTAAAATGGGTTAATTTTATTTAACCCCTAAACTTGAGATAAATTACTAATTTCACATGTGGATTTTAAATAAAATATCATTTTTATTTTTAAATTTTAGATGAAATATCAATTTGATTCCTAAATTTGTCCAAATCTAACAAAAATATACTATAAATAATTTTAGGTCATTAAAATATAAAAAGTATATATTTATAACTTTATCAAAAAAATTTAAAAAATTATCATCTCAACCCTACATCTTATGGTGCAAAGATAAACGAGAGAAAAAAAAATAATTAGGTTGAAGTTAAAGGAATTTTGAATTTGTTTTCGGAATTAGAAATTTAATTTTTTTTCACAAATTTTAATAGTACAAAATGAAAAAGCATCATTAAAGAAACATTATGAAGACATATATCATCGCGAGGAGTGTCACACCACAATATTTAAGTATGATTTATAATTATTTAATTAAAC